TAATTTAGTACTAATTTATTATCATATTCGCGAATTTATTACTCATCATTAAACAGAAAAAACCAACGGCTCTGCTAGCTTTATGTCAACCTAGCAGAACCATAGCTGAAAATGTAATATTTTGAAAATTTTAAATATACCATAATTTATAACTATTTTATTACTAACTTATAACTATAATCACGAATTTTTTACTCATCATTTCAAGGAAAAAAACGAAGATTTGTCTATCTCGATCCCAACCTAGCAGAACCAAAACTCAAATCACATGTATTTTTGAATTCTGTTGTATCATCGATAAGTTACTAATTGATTACTGATTTATTACCACATTCGCAAATTTCTAACACTTCATTCAACAGGGAAAACCAACGGCTCTGCTAGCTTGCTGTCAACCTAGCTAAACCATAATTATTTTGAAAACTTCAAATATACCATAATTTATTACTATTTTATTACTAACTTATAACTATAATCACGAATTTTTTACTAATCATTTCATGGAGAAAAAACACCGATTTGTCTATCTCGATCTCACCTAGCAGAACCAAAACTGAAATCACATGTTTTTTGAAATTCTGTTGAATCGTCAATAAGTAATTAATTCATTACAAAATTCCGACATTCGCAAATTCCTTAAGTAATAAAATAGTAATAAATTATGGTATATTTGAAGTTTTCAAAATAATAATTGTTTAGCTATGGGCTATGGCCGAGGCCACGGCTCTGCTGGGTTGACAGAAAGCTAGCAGAGCCGTTGGTTTTCCTTGTTTAATGAAGTGTTAGAAATTTGCGAATGTGGTAATAAATCAGTAATAAATTAGTAACTTATCGATGATACAACAGAATTTCAGAAAACATGTGATTTGAGTTTTGGTTCTGCTAGGTTGAGATCGAGATAGTCAAATCGTCGTTTTATTCCTTGAAATGATGAGTAAAATATTAGTTAATTTTACTTGATTCTTTGGGATTTTCTGATAGAAAAATTTGTTAAACGTGGTGACATTCTGGGGCAAATCATCTGATTTGTCCCTCTACAAATATATTGAAATAATAATATAATAATAAATAATAATAAATACGCTTTTATTCACACAAATAAAAATATAAAAATAAAAACATGAAGATGTAGAGATACTGAATACAATATTACAGAATACGAATAGAAGATACAAATTTACAAAATACAAAAATACATCTATCACATTAATTGTGAAACAAAGCAAAATCCGATAAGTGTATACACACTTGTTTCGGTATGACAAATTGTGAATAAGGAATATTTTAATAACAAAATGTATAAAATGAGTAAAAATTATCAATAGGTATATAAATAATATAGAGAGTATATTTAAAAATCTAGGTTTAGATTTAAACATAGCGACGTAAAATTCTTTCTTTTTTCAATTAGGTATCGAAATATTGATGCACAGATCTGCCTATTTCAAGTAGGTGATTCCTCAGCTGAAATTTGAATTTATTTATATTGATCAGTGATTTCAAGTTGTCCGGAATACTGTTATATAACTTTGGGGCAAGGTAAGAGTAAGACCTTTGAGTAGCTGTTTTGCACATGAATGGAATGATATAGTGTTGTTTTTTTCGAGTATTGTGTTCGTGTTCCGGTATTCGGGAAAATTGCTTGTGTAAGTGATGTCGCACGCAGGAGCAGTGGTAATACAATTGTCTGATATCGAATATTTTTGTTTCAGTATATAATTCATTTGTCGGATAACGGGAGTTCTTCGAAAAAATTAATTTCAAAAATCTTCTCTGCATGACATCTAAGGTATGGAGATAAGTTTTTGGAGCTGAGCCCCAAACAAGTATCCCATAACGAAGGTGGCTTTCAACTAGGGAATAATATAATGCTTTAAGGTAGTTTTCAGGTAAGATTTCTCTGAGTTTCCTGAATTTATACAATATAGATCTCAATTTATTCAAAATATATGCTATGTGTAAGTCCCATTTCATGTGAGTATCGATAATTATGCCTAAGTATTTAATTTTTGTTTCAGGATATATGGTGAAAGTCTCCAGATGAGATCTCACATCAAGTTGGTTGAAGGTCGGTTTATTAGAGGAGTTACAAGCGAAGTATAGGTAGGTAGTTTTTTCTTTGTTAACGGTTAGTAATTTGGAATCCAGCCATTGTTTAATTCGTGAGAACCCAGCTTCCGCAGTGACTCTCAATTCATTCCAGGTGTCCGCTCTATAGAAGATAGCTGTGTCGTCGGCAAACCCAATGATGTTATCATTATTTTCCAGGGAGAATAGTCCATTAATATAAATATTGAAGAGAGTAGGACCAAGGACACTCCCTTGCGGAACTCCATATTCAATAAGCATCTCATTGCTGAGAGTATCCTCAATCCTCACAACTTGATGTCTGTTTGTGAGATAGCTTTCAAAAAACAGCAATTCTTTATTGCGTATTCCGATATCTTCTAGGCAGTTTAAGAGTAGTTGGTGGCTCACTGTATCGAAGGCTTTCGATAAATCGATGAATAAACATAAACACGGACTGCTGTCATTGAGGCTTTGGTTTATTTTTGTTGTTAAGGCAATTACAGCATCCTGTGTTGATGTTTTTTCTCTGAACCCATACTGCTGTTGGGATAATATTCTGAACTTATTTAGAAAACTAACGAGGCGTTGTTTTATAAGTTTTTCGAAAACCTTTGATATATGAGTGATGAGGGATATGGGTCGATAATTAGTAATCTTCTTTTCATTGCCTTTTTTGAATATAGGAGTAACGATAGAACTTTTGAAGGCCGTTGGGTAAACTCCATGTTCTATGGAATTGCTGAATAAATGGGTCAAGGGATGCATGATGTATAGACTTATTAGTTTTAAGGTTTCAGCTTTGATATTATCTATTCCGGCTGCTTTACCGTTTTTCAGTTCAAATATAGTTCTGTGTACTTCATCTGCCGTGATAGGTGCAAACACAAAAGAGTTAACTGTAGTTTTCCTTTCTATTCTGTAGTTTTCATCTCTCAGAATCTCATCAGCTAATGTTTTACCAATTTTGCTAAAACCGTTATTAAATGCGTTGGCGATATCAATTTTTTCTACTAGTAATTCTCCTGTATCCGCACTTTCAATGTTTTCAATATTACCCTTGTGTTTTTGAAATAATACGAATACTTTTATTTCATAGAAACGAGGAGAGAAAATCCCAAAGAATCAAGTAAAATGAATGTACCACCTCCTCGATTAACCTACAGACAGTATTTAAAAAATTCGTGATTATAGTTATAAGTTTATAAAATAGTATGATATTATGGTATATTTGAAGTTTTCAAATAATTGTTTAGCAGAGCCTTTGGTTTTCCCTGTTGAATGAAGTGTTAGAAATTTGCGAATGTGGTAATGAATTAGTAATAAATTAGTAACTTATCGATGATACAACAGAATTTCAAAAAACATGTGATTTGAGTTTTGGTTCTGCTAGGTTGAGATCGAGATAGACAAATCGTCGTTTTTTTCCTTGAAATGATGAGTGAAAAATTCGTGATTATAGTTATAAGTTAGTAATAAAATAGTTATAAATTATGGTATATTTAAAATTTTCAAAATATTAAATTTTCACCTATGGTTCTGCTAGGTTGACATAAAGCTAGCAGAGCCGTTGGTTTTTTCTGTTTAATGAAGACTAATAAATTTGCGAATATGATAATAAATTAGTACTAAATTAGTAACAAATTATAGTACTATTGCAAATCCGAAATATTGAAGTGGTTCTGCTAAGTTTATTGGGGTGTTAAACCCAAAACTTGAAGCTTTGGGTATACAGGCGAATATCTCAAGTTGGATCAGAAGCTCTCACTAGTAGAGTCCAATATGTGAAATATGGGAGCTCGGTTTCACAAGAAATCGAAGTACCATTAGGTGTACCACAGGGATCTCACATGGGACCTCTATTATACTATTATTTAATCTTTTTGTTAATGACCTCTCTGATGTCATCAACAACAGTTCCTTCTTGATATTAGCCGATGACCTGAAGATGTTTAGAAAGGTTCAATGCATTTCTGATGCTGAGAGTTTGCAGCTCGATCTGAATAAGTTTTTCAGATGGTGCAATATCAGTTTATCAAAACTGAATTTGAATAAATTTCAAAAGATAACATTTTCACGAGGCCATGATGCTATTGATCATATTTACAGTGACACTAATCTATCAGTAACCAATATAATCAAAGACTCAGGAGTAATATTCGAATCGAAAATTACCTTCAAACATCACATAATAGAAACATAATCTCGTGCTCATAAAATGCTAGGCTTTTCCCTTCGTTCTGCCAAAGAACTATCTGTTAATGCTGTTAAAAATATTCATTGTGCACAGGTCAGGTCTATTCTTGAATATAACTCTTAGATCTGGTCACCCTTTTACAAAGTTGATTCTGATCTTTTAGAGGGTTGTCAAAATAAATGTTTAAGAAGTTGTGCACATCACATGGGATTCAATAGGGATGAATATAGCTATCCACAAATATTAGGTATTTTAAACATGAATACGTTGATACATAGAAGAATGGAAATTGATCTATTATTCCTCCATAAATCTATCAATGGCTACATTGATTCTCCTGAAATTGTTGCTCTGACTACGGTTTCCGCAAATACAAGACGAAACAGAAATAGTGACGTTTTCAAGATACCATTCTGTAAGACAAATTATGGCCAAAATGGATCTATGAACAGAATTATGAAAACAGCAAATACACACAATTACCAAATTGAACTGTTCAATAATTCATCTTCATTTTCTTTCAGGAAAGCGATCAAAAACTGTTAATCACTTATTTTATGATCCTCATCATTTTATTCGTTTTAGCCTTCTGAAATTCTAGAACATTTTTTTGTGTTAGTCTTCTTGATAGATATAATTATATGTAGGTTGTAGGTGCTCTGTATTTTTATACTTTATTTTTGAAAATTGCATAATTGGTTTGTCCGTTGATAAATAAATAAATAAATATACTTACCATTGGAGCTGGCAAGAGACATTTTGATGACGAGATACCAGATACCTACAACACAAATTATGGTCATTATTGAGCTGGTAAAACTAGTGAATAGCAGGCGAAGGATAACGTAAGACTTCTGTTTATATTCAGTGAACGATCAAAAGGTTTAGGCAATAGGTGTATCACTTATTAGTATTTTTTTATACATAAATTTCTATAATGTCAGAAATTCCATCGGAATCCTAAGTTCAACTTAAAGATGATCCCACATACTGGCAATTTCTCAATACATTCTTAAAGCTACACCCATACTCAAGAAACATGAAATGGATAGTTTTCAATCTCCGATTGAATTGTACATATTTACCGAGTTATTTACATTATTTATATACCAGCGAGGGGTTGAACACATGGGAATTCAGGTGTACAATCGATAGGAATTCCGAGGAATTTAGGGTAAATCCAGGGAATTCCGGTTAATTCCAGGAATTCCTGGAATCGTCGAAATTTACATATCTTGTCTATAAAGCGATTATTTCTTTGCAGCATGAGCTGTAGGCGAATTCTGCAAATCATACGGGTGGGAAACTAGCATTCCGTGCCAGTTATACACTATACTTTTTCAACGGCTGTAACAGATAACAGCGAAATTTCTCATTTCTTAAGCTTGTAGCCATCTGATGTTCTCTTAAGTAATGCTCTCGGTAATGCTCATCAATTAGACGGCTGTCATTGCTTGAAATATGACATTTCATAGATGAGATTTTGTGAAAAAATTATATAATGAAATCATTGTGAGATAAGATATGGAAATGAAATTGATGCCATTCAAATTACCTCATTGATTTATCGAATACAGTAAAACAAGAGTAATTTTGTGTTATATAGCCGTAGAAAAAAAATGTAGCTTGTCGTTGATCCCAATCTTCAGGGCGGTATAGTAGGAACAAGACATGTATTGGAACAAAAAGGAGTTCAATGGATTATCGAGAAGAATCAACGTATTATGAATTTGTACAAAAATATAAGTGTAAATTATCAAACAATTTATATTTTCATGACATTAATAATTTGAATGATCAACTCAAAACAGCAAACAAGTAAATACGACTAGCTGGTACAATAACTGCCCACAAAAAGCGAAGTACTACCCTCGAAATGGCCCTGATATTTACTATAAACTTCTGCCTGAAGATTTGCAAAACTTCCCCTCGACTTTTACTAAACAAAATTAACAAGAACCTCAATGACCACTGGCCATTGGTGCGTTCAAGTTGAATATAATGTTCTGAATTTTTGTCAGTATACTTGTGAATACTAAGGATTACTCTCGTGATTACTCCATTTCAGTCAAATCACTTTCCTCGATATTCCAAAAAATGACGAACTAAAACTTCAACTTTTATACGGAGGGTTGCCCTCAATTGGGCAAGCCAGAATAAATATCATAGTGCACACAGATTGTCTAAGACGACGATTACCAAAATTGAAATTGTAGATGTTCTGGTTCCCACGAAAAGGGATATCCTGTAATGTTCAGAGAACATCGTGAGAACCAAGAGGAATATGGTAGGAATTGGTGTTCTTTTTTAAATTTCTGGAGGTTATATGCCTCGGGGAACACTTTCCTTGGCAATGTATTCCAGAGCCTCGCTGTTCGTTGGATGAACGAGTCTTTGGAAAGAGATGTGTTAATTAACGCTCATCGTGAAAAGCCCTGTATAGTTTTGATGCCGGCAATTGATCTCACGTGATTTTCCCAAGAGAGGTTGTTGCTGATAGTGATACCAAGCATCGAAATGGATGTCTTCAAAGGTATGGTTACTCCTGACAAGCCTATATTGGGCACAGTGAGATCGGCTTTTCTAGAGAAAAGGCATGCTTATGTTGTATTTGCATTGAAATCGACCAAGTTATTGTATCCCCATTCGAGAATTGTTGCCAAGTCCATATTTATGTTGTCATCATTTCTCCCTCGTTCGTTTCTGATTTGCCTGGCTGGTATTGGAGCCCTGGAAGAGAAGGCGGTATGGAGGGTACTATCATCCGCGAAGCTGTGTACTGGACATGAAGTTGCTTCAAATAAATCATTGATATAGAGTAGAAATAGTGTTGGTGCTAGAATTGATCCTTGGGAACACCAGCATTTATGATAAGAGAGCGAGTAAGAGAGTCAGATGGAACTCCGTCGACCACTACATGGAGAGACCTGTTTGAGAGAAAACCAACTAGCAGAGAACATAGCTGGGGATGCAAGCCATAAGATGGAAGCTTGGCGAGGAGTCCGCGGTGCCAGACTCGATCGAATGCCTTGGAGATATCAAGTGCCAAGGCTAAGGTTTCACCATATTTTTCAATAGATTGCTTATATATATGTGAGACGTAAGCGAGCAGGTCACCAGTTGATCTCTGATGACGGAAACCATATTGCCCGTCGATAATACCTGAATGGTCCAGGTATTTCATGAGCTCGATGTTGATAGCTTTCTCCATGATCTTTGAAATAATAGATATCAGTGCGATCGGTCTGTAGTTGCTAGGTAGGGTCTTTTTGCCTTTTTTTTGGAACTAGTTGTACTCTTGCAATTTTCCAGTTGGACGAGAATATCCCCAATTTGTAAGAGTAGTTGAACAACTGAATCCAGAGTGGAATTTCCAGCAAATAAATGCGCAAAAATGTTGGCTTTCTCCTGAGCAGTTGTGGCTAGTGTTCCATCTTCCTTGGTTAGAGGGGGAAACGAGCTGGAAGTGAAGTTTCTTCCTACAGCTTTAAAATGAACGGGATCCGTTAGGACATTCAAAAAGTTTTGATCTTATTTTTACATACTGTACCCTGTACATGTATCTAATTAAAAGCAACAGAAAATAAATCTACCTTATAAATATAAAAAAATGTGTGTGTGAATGTTCCAAAATGAGTCTTTCATATTTCGTCAGGATAACTCGGCATTCCCTGGAATTCCCAGTACTTCCTACACTTAATTTAAAAATTCCGAGGAAATCCGGGGCACACATTTTTCCTCAGTGGTCATTCCATCTTATACGATTTTGTTTACTAACATTCTTCTCTTGGCATTTTTTTAACGCCATAGCAATAACGCTTTCGAGGCACATTAATTTTCAATGTCAACAACAATATGATAACCACTTATCAGTCAGCAAAGTTGACATTTTGAATCTAGCGTACTGTTACGAGTAGGTACGAGAGTACTGTCTCTAATTATTTTATTGATTATATTATTTTTATTTTTTCCACTTGTGAAGTGCATAAAATAGTACAAAAACCACGGGAATGCAGGGAAAACTTTTTTTGAAATATCTCTCAATTTACAGTTGCAACTGTAAATTAGGCAGAGAAATTTTTTTTCTAATATCTCCTAATTTACAATTGCAACTGTAAATTAGTTCTAAGAGGAACACCTTTATAGAAAAAGAATCCCAACCAAAAAGAATCCCAACCAGGTGTATTTTGAAAAAGTTACTCCCAACCAGGTGTATTTTGAAAAAGTTACGATTTTTTTTCGTAATTCGAAAAAGGGGGCCTGTGAGGATAACTCTCGCTCGACAAAATATTAAGAGATATACACATCATCAAGTACCATAAGAGAAACACGTTTATAGAAAAAAAACTCCAAACCACGTGTATTTTGAAAAAGTTATGATTTTTTTCTAAATTCCAAAAAGGGGGCCTGTGCGAGGGCCTGTGGGGTTAATTCTTGCCTGACAAAATATCGTGAGATATACACATTATAAAGTACCATTAGAGGAAAACATTCATATAAAAAAACTCCCTTCCACGTGTATTTTGAAAAAATTATGATTTTTTTTCGAAACTCCAACAAAGGGGGCCCCTGGGGTTAATTCTTGGCCGACGAGATATTGTGAGATATAAACATTATCAAGTAACATCAGAGGAACACATTCATAGAAAAAAACTCCTATCTACGTGTATTTTGAAAAAGTTATGATTTTTTTTCAAAATCTCAAAAAGGGGGCCTGTAGGGATAATTCTTGCCCGACAAAATATTGTGAGATATACACATCATCAAGTACCATTAGAGGAACACATTCATATAAAAAAACTTCCATTCACGTGTATTTTGAAAAAGTTAGGATTTATTTTCGAAATTCCAAAAAATTTAGCCTGTGGGGTTAATTATTGGCAGACAAAATATTGTGATATATACACATTATCAAGTAACATCAGAGGACCACATCCCAAGAAAAAAACTCTTATCCACGTGTATTTTGAAAAATGTTTATATCTCACAATATCTCGTCGGCCAAGAATTAACCCCAGAGGACAAAATACACGTGGATGGGAGTTTTTTTTATATGAATGTTTTCCTCTAATGGTACTTTATAATGTGTATATCTCACGATATTTTGTCAGGCAAGAATTAACCCCACAGGCCCTCGCACAGGCCCCCTTTTTGGAATTTAGAAAAAAAATCTTTTTCAAAATACACGTGCTTAGGAGTTTTTTTTCTGTAAACGTGTTTTTCTTATGGTACTTGATGATGTGTATATCTCACAATATTTTGTCGAGCAAGAGTAATCCCCACAGGCCCCCTTTTACGAATTACGAAAAAAAAATCATAACTGTTTCAAAATACACGTGGTTTTCGAAATTCCGAAAAAGGAGGCCTGTGGGGTTTATTCTTGCCCGACAAAATATTGTGAGATATACACATCATCAAGTACCATAAGAGGAACACGTTTATAGAAAAAAAAAATCCCATCCAGGTGTATTTCGAAAGTTATGATTTATTTTCGAAATTCCAAAAAAGGGTACCTGTGGGGTTAATTCTTACCCGACAAAATATCGTGAGATATACACTTTACCAAGTACCATTAGCGGAACACATTCATATTAAAAAAACTCCCATCCACGTCTATTTTGAAAAAGTTATGATTCAAAACACCTAATCCCCAAAAAAAATTGTCTCTGCCTAATTAACAATTGCAACTGTAAATTAGAAGGTGTGTAGAAAAATGTTCTCTTGCTCTAATTTACAGCCGCAACTGTATATTAGGTAGACAAAACATTTTTTTAATATCTC